CCCCCCTCTCCTCTCTGAAGCATCCTCAGTAATGGCAGAAGATCCATCTGTATTTTACAGCACAGGAAGTTTTATTGGGAGGCAAGGAGAGGGGGAGGAGTGGCAGAAGTAGTTATCAACTCCATATCACATATGAGCCAAGGCAGGCATCCACTCCCCAGACACATTCATGCCTGTAACATTCCCAAACTGCTGAGTGTATGTACAGCTGCCTTCACACAACGATTCAAAGCTCCTGACTTCTCCCATACTGCTGATGGCACAAGAGCAGCACTGACGATCCGTGTGTTTGTGCAGTCTTCCTGCACAGAGAAATGCAAGTGGAAATATGTATGTATTTTAAAATATACCTTTCCTTAGCCAGTAAGAAGGCCAAGAACAGAGGAGGCCATTTTGCTGTATAAACAGGGTTGCTCAAAGCCTGCAGCTGGCAGTGGATGGCAGATAGACATTTTCTTTCTGTCACCATTTCTCCCACCAAAGCAGCAAGAGAGATGTTGCCAGGCCGCCTCTGTCTCTGCCTACGGCCCAAGACAAATTGCACAGAGGTGGGTGAAGAGCAGCATGTTGAAGCAACTGATAGAAACCTGGCTCCTTTCTGAAATACCTCTTCTGCCTCTGCTTAAGAATATGCTGCATAGCAGAGTGAATATTTTGCAGTTTATTTATAAGTTGCGCCCTTTTACTAGCTGTTTTTAAATAAGTACCTAAGCAATCTGCACAATCCCCAAAATCTAGTATAATAATTATGTTACCAGTTATGGTAAACAATTTCCACAGAAATGGAAGATACTAAATCACTATAACGAAAATGTCTTTTATTTGCAGCAAGATTTTCAAAACATTTGATGTAAAACCAGAGCTCAGTTTCTCAAATGCAAAATAGATACTGCTAGGCTTTTCAGAAACTGTTTGACAGACAAACAAAGCTCTCTAATGCACTTACAGGTGGCTCTAAAAAATACTGGTCAGAAAGTATCAGATTTATTTTTAAACAGCTATTGGGTACTGAAATCAGCTTCACCTTGTATCTGGTATCAAAATGTACTTGGTAGCCCGCACTTTTCCAAAAATCAGTATCTGAACTTTCCTGAAAACGTCCCCATGGTTGGGGCCAACAGGCTCTTTTGACATATTGTCACAGCAGCTGCTTCCCTCTCCTGCGATCCCACACACTTTGGTGCAACAAAACAAGCAAAAAATTTACATCCCCCTTCCTAGCATGCTTCCATTGGACTGCTGCCTGCAGAACTCCTGGAGCAATGGAAGACAAGGGGGCAGAAGAGCCCCCCTGTATGGGCCGTCCACCCCTGCACCCCTGCCCATGGGTATGCAAGGTATGAGGCAGCATGGAGAGGGAAACACACCACTCGAGCAGCAACCCCTCTCCTTTATAGTACAGTCTCATGCCCCTTTCACTCCCAATTCAGCTAACGTCGAGTATCAAGCTCCATGCAGCAACGCTGGTTCTCTACTTAAAGCAGATTTGAGAGTGCTAAGCAAGGCAGTGATAGCCATCCCTGAAGGTACACCATGACCCTGCATGGCAGATAACTGAAGAGGAAATAATCTCTGGGACCCTGAAGACTGGGAGCTGTTTGGCCCAGATCATTTTATGACCCTTCCTCTGAAAGGTCTGATCCTCCTGTCTCTTCCCTATGTAATTAAACAGTACTTGGATGCATAGAGCCATTGATTTCAAACATTTCCTTGCTTGATTAAGGCTTGCTCATCAGAAATAGATTTGTCCTAATTCAGTGATGGCGCTTGGATAGATTAACTTAGATAATTTGAATATATACCTTGATGCAGACAAATGGATTGTTTTGTTCTTATTAATACCAGCTATTATCTTTATTTCTGCTTTGACTCATATTCTGAATCTCAGTCAAGACTTCTTGACTGCAGAGCACAGCTGACTGAGAAATTAGTCTTTACAATTTAATGGAACACGTGTTTTCCTCAGTCTGATAATGTATGCAGACTATCATCTCTGATAACAGTAAAAGAGCAGACTTCGCATTTGCAAGTGACAGAAGGGGATAAACCAAAGGATATCTTTAGCTATTCAGTGGCTAAAGGACTACTTTGCCCACTTCTATTTCCATTTTCACACTGCAGAGGTTAATGCATTTGTTTCAGTGTATTTAGGTGATCTCAGATCTAGTAATGCACTCAGGGGGATTTAAAAAAAAAATTTAAAAATTTTACATTTTTAAAACAAACTTTGAGCGAAAGTTTATCTGATATTTAACTCATAGTCAAATTTAAAGAGTTTCCATTATGCACAGCATATAATACATTTGTGCGCATTTTATGTAATCTACAGCAATTTTACAGCTGACATCTACAAAATAAGTCCTAACAAACAGAAGGTCCTCAAGAAAAATCTCCCATGTTACATGCCTATAACAAAACACTTCTGCAAAAGCTGTGGGACATTTCACAGAAGAAAATTGCAACAAACAGGATCTTGTAGTCATCATGCCAACAAACATACAGACAAAGAAACCCATGACTAGATATTTGGAAATATTATACCATAAATCTTGCTATTTTCAAATTCACAAAGAAGCTCATAACCAACAAACTTGGACATTAGTACAACGTGGAAAGCTAGATACCAAAACAAAAGGATTTTCTTCAATAAGCATCAAAAGTAAAGTATACTTATTACTAAAATGAACTATCATATATACATTTTTCATGGATACCATTTTGATATGAACATTAATTACTAAATTTGCCAAAGAAGTTTATCGGCCTTGTTTAAAAGTCGGAAGTTAGAAAACATGAAACATGCTTGCCTCAGAAGAGTAGAATAAATCCCTTGAAAAATCAGATCTCTCTTCTTTCACAAAAACGGGTGAGTTTGCATTAACATCAAAAGCCAAGCAAATTAAAAACGCAATGCATAAAAAGGAAATTCTTACTTTAACTTCCACTGTCTTCCCACCTTGCTCGATATGCCTCTCAAGATACTCAGAAGACAGCAGGTCACTGCAAGAAGAAGAAAAAAGGAACCATAAGCCTTGCGCATGTGTTCTTGCACTCCCTCTCAGCAAGCACTGATTAAACATTTACATTTGAAAAGGGAAAAACCTGCAGGATACTTTTCCTAAAATGCTCATAAAAATCACTGAAACAACCACCTCCAATGGAGTTACACAGTGCATGGGATACATTGATTTTCAATACCAGAAGGTGGGACAAGGAAAACTGAAGGGGAGTTTCTTCATGAAAGCTTCAAAACCAGCCACTGATACTGATTTTAATTCAAGAGGCTTTCTTATTTGCTGCTAAAGCTGAACAGGTCAGAAGTTAGGTGGACTTTAAAAAAAGAAAAAAGCAGAAGGATGAAAAACCACCAGGAGTGACTCCAACTCAATATGAGGGAAAGTGGTAGCTGTGCTGGCAGGCTCCTTAAGGACACAATGGCACAATAATAAATGACCTTGTGACACCAAGACGGTGAGCTCAGGTCCACACTTAACAGGTCAGCAAAGCCATCGGCCATGGGAGCTGCAGCCCAGGCAGGCTCACAGTGTAGGTGTGAAGGCTGTGGTGGGGCCCCTGGGGCAGGGCCTGTCCCAAGGAATCCCCACCACCGCTCTCCCTGAGAGCCCTGCAGCTTTAGCAATGCTAGAGGAAAAGGCTCTGGGCAACAAGCAATCACAGCCTTCAAGTACACAAGGATTTGGAACAAACACTGAAGAGAAAAAACAATCAGACCTGGGGCAAACATATATAAATTAAATGCAGGCTGTATTTACTAAGACACTTCGGTGCAAAACCATTCAATTCCTCTCCCTCATAATTATTTTCTAGGCAAGCAAATTATAGAATCACAGAATCAGGAAGGTTAGAAGGGACCAAATCATCTGCATCGTAAATTTCAGTAAGCATTTTCAAAGACTGAAAAATTTTACTGAGATTAAATCCATATAAAGACTTGATATTGTCCCACCTCAGTGGTGACTAAACTGAAAAAGATGAAGAATTGGTACAGAAAACCTGAGAAGAGGCAGGTTGACTGCCAGGACAAAAGGCAATTAACAGAGACCCCCTCAGCAGAAGAAGCACAATTGAATATTTCGCCTTTAAACCAGTAAAACACCCAGGCTAGAAGTGAACTGATGTGCTGAGGGAGGGCAGGAACAGCAGAGTGGCAGCCAGGGCAGCAGCTCATCACCTTTCCAGAGCTTCGCTCTGGCCAAACAGGGACCAGGACCATGGACCTTGTTGCTCACAGAGACATTGGTGACAACCATGAGTGAGTTGCAAGCAGGACAAGGTTGGCAGTATGGGTCCTCCCATATCAGCCCTAAAAGCTGCCAGCTTGGTATTTGCATTAATAACCCAGGCACAAATCCCAGGAAGGTTCCAATGAAATATGCTGACAATGTTAAATTGGAAAGCATGAGGAATAAAGAAGAAGAAGATCAAAAAAACTCCCATAGGAAAGACCTGGATGATCTTCAGCACTAGATATTAGAAATAAGATCAAATTCAATTATACAAACAGCAAATTTATGCACTTAAGGGATGGAGGGAATTTCTATCATGTTGTTTTGGAAGGCCTGGTTTATAAGGAAGAGAGACATGACTGCACTTGTTTCTGGCAAAATGATTTGCCAGATCAATAGGGTGTCTTCCTGAAAAACACAACTGTCACCCCAGAATACATCAAAGAAGACGTATTTCCAGTCAAACTGAGGTAAGATTAATACCACTGCCCAAAGGAAAACTCTTTCCAAATACTGCAGACAGGTACTGGACAGCTTTGTTTACAAAGTTTCATTACCTGGCAGCACAGAGAGGCTCCTGAAGACTAGCAAAAAATTGAGTTGTGAGGGAATGTGAATGCACCAGAGTCTATACACCAAAATATAAAGGCAGATAATTAAGCTACAGAAGATGCTGGCAGAACTTCAAATGTACAAGGACTGTCAATGGAAACTGGATGTTAAAGGGGGAAGAAAAAAAACAAAACAAAACACAACAAATTAAAAAAACAACAAACAAACAAAAAAAAACAAAAACAAAAAAAACCCAACCACTTTGTATCTAAGTGTAAGCGACAGCACCAACAAAAAGAGGGGTGCTAACAAATTTCTGAATGGTAGCATCCATGGGACAACTGTCCATGCAGGTTTGGTTCCCTCAGTCACAGTGAATTCACAGCTGGTTGCTGCTGAAAGCAGAAGGTCTCAGTGCCCCCTCAGGAGCAAGCACTGAACCTACCTTATGTCAGCACAAGCACTCATCAAAACACTCTTGGTGTCAGAACTAACACTCATCAAAATACTCTTCGTGTCAGCCCTGGCATATGTCAAGGTACACTTGGGAGGGTTCAACAAACCCATGTTTTTGCTGCATTAGGTAACTGAAGTCCTTTGAGAAGAGGTACAATAAGCTCCAGAGCTGACAGAAGGGAGGGAATGTACCTGAGCAGCTGCCAATAAGGGTGGAAGAAAGAGTGAGTGACTCCTTCAGCCACTGCAGAACCAGTATGATCAGCTGCCCCAGATTTGCCCTCTAGGACCCCCTTAATTCTGGTCAGGCCCGTATACCTATATTGATGCTTTGCACAGCCGCCTGCAGGTGACCCATTATTGAGGAGCACCTAAAAGAGATGCTGTTGAGTTACTGATTACAATACTCTAAACCCTCTTAGAAGTGAATATTAAATATTTAGGATACTCATTCCCTGGGGGAAGCTCAAAGACTTCTATAAGGTCTTGTATACCTTTTCCAGATTTAGAAATTCAGACAGATGTTCTCTTAAAATGTATTTAGTTCAGCTTGCCGAAGTCAGATACACAGTTTCCCAGCATTCACTACACTTTCTTTCAGCAGAATTTTATGCTTCCACAGACTTACTAAAGCCTCCTTTATAGCTTAGAGCTCTACTTTTACTCTTCACTATTTCTAGGGGACTCAGTTAAACTAAGGCTGTCATTCTTATCTGATGGCCACAAAGGGTTTTGTGCCAAGGAAGATGCAAGAGATTATAAAATGTAAGATATTAAAGTAAGTATACAGTACAAAAGACAGGGCTAAAAGAACCTGGCTTAACTCAGAAAGAATTTTATAGCTGTGTTTGGAAGGATGATAAGGAGAAGCACAGGGTCTGCTCCTGTGAGTCTGACAAAATTACTGCTTTTTAAAAGATACTACTGTTAATGTTTTTATGTTCTGGAAGCTCATATGTTATCTTCTCAAAGATCTGGATATTGTGTCTGCAATGAGAAAACGAAGAGATTGATCATTTTCTGCCTTGTACAACACAAGAACTAGGAGGTAATAGAAAAGATCAGTAAACTCAGAACTAATAAAAAGGAACCTTTTCTGGCACAGCCACTAGTTACAATGTGCCAGTTCAAGACACTTTTAAAGCCTATCCTAAGTAACATGGTAGTATATGTCCGAGAATATTTTACAATCTCTTGCCACAGGAAGGCATGGATACTAGAGGTCTGTATTGGTCCAAGTTGGGAACGGACAAGTTAGTGGACATAAGTGGGAGCTGCCAAATGCACAGAAATTGCACCTGACTCAAAGTCTTGGAGTCCTGGAAAAAGACACTGGGGAAGCCTCATACAAGCTGCTTCTGCTCTTCCACTTCTCCCTCAGCATCTGCCCAGGGCTATTGGGGCAGGGCAGTTGGCCAAGTACCCCTTTGACCTGGCCTGGGCTGCTCTGCCTCCACCCTGAAGGGCTGTGTTTCTCCTATGGATTATAGAGGGTCCCCTGGGATCCAGCTCCAGGGTTGCTGGTGGTCAGTCAGCTGCTTTTCTCCCACCCATCACCCTTATGATGGACATACCCAGGTTGTTCAAGTTGTGTTTATTTACAAAGTAGGCCAAGAAAAGGATTCCTAAAAAGGTCCATCCATTTTTTCCTCCTTCTTTGTCCTTACTTTCGAGGACAAAAGGGATGGAAACGGCTGGGGAACCACTGGCACTCTCCCACCTCTTGAGGACTCTTGCAAGTGCCTTGATTCCCAAAATGAGCCTGCCTGGAAGGGAAACACCTGGAAGGGAAACCTGCCTGCACAGCTCCTGGGGATCGAATTAAGAGCTTACAAACAGACAATGGGTCTGAATTAAAGACACTTTCAAAGCCTATCCTAAGTAACATGGCAGGATATGTCCGAGAATATTTTGTCAGTATAAAAACCACAAATGAAGCCATGTTGTGCTTTATTATTATGACTCACTGCACTGAAAATATCATAAGATCTTGCAGATCCAATAACGCAATCAGTGCTATTACAAACTAATCTACAACCTAACAATGATAAACGATCTTGAAAATTCAGGCCAAAAGATATGCTTCTCTTATGAGATCACCTCATAGGTGGAGTCATGTTTTGTCTTCAGTACCAGTGAGGCACATAAGTGCATAATTTTAATAGAAGTCATTGCTTTAAAACAAACAAAAAGCTAGATTAAAATACTTGTGAAACATTATTAAAATTATTTAAGGTAAGACAGAGCAATCAGCATTCAAATAATATGCATTTCAACATAAATAAATAAACATAAACACTTCCCTATGGTAGAGATAAAATAGGAACAATTTAGCTTGCCTGCCAATCTATCCTAAAAGCCATCTTTATCAGCTTAAGTAGTAGTTTTTGTATCAATTATAAATAAAATCTGTGAAAAAAGAACAGACTGTGAAAAAAAATCTAAGAAACACCAGAGACAGAGAAAATTACAGAGAATAAAACATCAACACTATAAAAGACAATATTGCAGAATGAGATTTTCAGAAACATTTGCTAAGCCATTGATATAAAATCTTTGAAAAGGCATGGCAAAAACCTGCATATGTTAAGACCTAAAACAAAAAAAAAATTCACAGTAAAAAAGTATATGTGATATGTTTTTTTTACAAGGAAAAAAAGGTAACGCTAGTAATGGTAATTCTGTTTTCAGAGGTCTGTTATTTTTTAAATGCACACAAATTTAGTAATGTAGTTTTGTTTTCAG